AAAAAGTAAAATATATTCTGTATCATAACATTGTTCTACAGAATCCACATAACAATTCAAACTGTATTAAAAAGAAGGAAATGGACGGGAGTGAGAAACTACAGTTGACGACATAGACATGTAGTTCTAGCCCAGGATGTATTAAAATATACTCACTTCACAAAAAAGGTTTTGATTATTAGGAAAGGTTTGGATTATTAGGAAAGAAAGAAATGAGTGGGAAAGTAACTAACGAGAAGTGAGACTTGAACCGGCGTTCATCTAAATTTTTCAGTTGCGACTTGTGAACAAATGTTCGGGGTACGCATAACGTATTACATTGGCGAATCCAGAGAAGAAAGCACCAGAGCCAAACCTATTTGCTACCATTTTTTTGTTATTTTACTCAGTTCATTCAATAAAAATCAGGAATTTATCGAAAATGAGATTGCGCCATTTTCTTAAGCGTCCTCTACACTATCAAAGGGCAAAGATTGGAGCTATTTTTTTAGCAAACTGTGGAAAGGTTCAAGCTCTATGTCAAGTGCGACCAAAATTAAAATATCTGTTTCAAATTCGCAAAACTTCGAATTTGTTCAGATCAATCAAGGAATATCAATTTTAGAGAAAAGTGTTTGAACGGTGTAGGCCCCAGGCACCTACACAGGCGGACGTTTTGCCGTCAATAGATGTTTCGGTATCTAGGACCCACAAAAGTAAATTTTGACTACCCATCGTTTAGAATTTATAGCACACCCAGGAAAAAGATTTCCCCGCTGGTTAGCTTCGCCCACCTAACGTCAGGCTAGCGGGATTTCCCGCAACCAGATACCTCCGATCAGCGGGCCACCCCCCAGCCGAGTCAGGCTTGAAGCATCCAACTAGACACCCGATATGTGCAGTAGTATAGTGCATGTAAGTATGTGTATAAGTACTGAGTGTGGGTAGGATAAGAAGGGGTAGGAAAGATCGCGCGCGGGCCGCGGCCCGTTTGTTAGAGTACCGCTCCGGTATTCGCCTGGTGTTGATCGGAGAAACCGTGGAAACTACCGATTAGAGTAACCCGCCGCTAGAATTCTCGTTCATACGAACTTTTTTTCGTACTATGGCTGAATTCAACCAAGTCCTACATAGGTAGGACTAGTTGCGTCTTCAGTATTTCTCCTTTCCTGAAACGCATGTTGCTATGGATTTATTAAACTGTGCACTGACAAAAAACTTATTTTCGCCTTCAAATTCCTTGTTTTTACACATTTCTTTGTAAAATGTGTTATGAGATATCGCTCTGTAATTTACTGTATTATCAGTTTCTCCATTAAAAAACTACTATGAATTCAGCCTTTTTAAAATGACAGAGTTCTGTCATGGAGACCCAATCACGATGTGTGAAATTTTTTGGGACTGTCCCACACGTCTATTCGTATACGACACAACCATGAAGGGAATTCTATAAAATTCATTTAGAGCATGTTGACTGATCAGGGACAATGTAACGAGGGCTCAGATGTCTTCTCTTCAGTTACCTCCATACACGAACATTCGATTGATTGGTTGATTAGTGATGCCAAGGGCCTCAACTATTAAGGTCATTAGTCCTGTAAGTGAAGTACATGGTTTGGCGTCGGGAGGTGGCGGTGTTCTCCAAATGCATTGTGAGATCAGCCATCGACCGTTGGCGAACGGGTTTTCCCCAATCAGGTATCTTCCACCAGCAGGGCACCGTCTCAGCCAGGAGAAGCTCAAAGCTCCCGACCGGTCTCCCGGCATGTGTAGTAGTGTAAGGGATGTTAGTGTGTGTGTAATTTACGTTACTGTCTAACAAACAAAAACAAAATGCTGGTTGTCTGAAAATTTTATTTGGAAACTTTTATCAAGAAAACGTATTACAGACAATTATAATTTAAGTGATAAATAAGTTTATGTAAGTAAAGGGTAAGGATAGGACCAGGAAAAACATAGAAGATGGCCCGCAGTCCGTGGCCCATTTGTTTGGTTACTGCTCTAGATTTGCCTGATGTTGATTGAAGAAAGCACGGAAAACTACCGATCAGAGCAGCTTCCCACTAGAATTCTCTTCCAGACAACTGAACTATCTAGCTAGTGTCGAAAATACTGCTACCGCCGAAACTGAGAATTCCCGGTCAGAAGCACGACAGTGGCATCAGTAAATTCCCTGAGCGATCTCGCCCAGTACAAACATTCATAGTGTTTTTGTGGAACATGATAAGGCGCTGAAGAATACTAACTGAAATTGATATCCAGTAGGGGAAGAATAACACGACATGATTTTTGCTTAATGAAAACTTATTGAAATTACCTTAATGAAAAAGTTATTGCTTCTAGTTTACGCAATTATAAAAAAAACATTTTCTAAAACCCGCTCCAAAATAATGTGAGAGAGTATGTGCTGGGATTAGCACCACAACTTCAAATTAATATTAGGAATCAATTTTCTCTCATACGAATTATGCTATAAATTTGTTTGTATACCAGCATTATAAACAACCTTATCTGTTGTAAGAAATTACCACGGTTCATAATCGGGCATTTTACAGCACAAATGACGACATATTAGTATTTTACGGCACGAATGATTGCGTCATAACACATTCAGCCAATCGCAGGGAGAGAATCGTGGGGAAGTAGAGGTAAACGGAACAGCCGACCACAATTTTTCGCACAATGTCAAATACCCGAGATGTCACAAGAAAGTTGTTTCACAAAATTATAGTAAATTTTCTTCCAACGTCGCTCGTTTTCAAAACATGTATTCGTGCAATAAAGCTTAATATTATATAATATTTGCATTAACTACTATTCAACCATTACCTTCACGTGGATTTGCTGATATCACACGCACACCATCGCAATAAGCACAACCGGCCAAGGCATGGGAGTGTTGAAAATCAAGGTCTTAGAGAAACTCGTGGCAATAATAGAACTCATGTTTACGTTGGGAATGCTAGTTTTTACAAATTAATGGCTCCTTACGAACGTCAAGAAAAATAATTATCTTTTATTATTTTACATCTTTATTATATTTATTATGTATAATTATATTATTAATAATTTGCTACATATAGGAACACGATTTATCCACTTTTCCGTTATTAAGGCCCTGCAATAAGAGTTTTTTTCTCTCGGAAATTCGCCGTTTCTGGCGCACTATTACAATACTTTCTCTTTTTACAAAGTAAGGGCGAGAAAAAAGTTGCATATCTTTAGGGAAGGAACGATTATTCTCAAATGCTCACTGCAATAATTATATTTCGAAAATTATATTTATGAACCAGTTCCCACCTTCAAACAGGAAAACTAGAGATTTCTACCAATCTTTTGTTGGAATTTCACGTTCTAAGGTTTAGAAGATAAAGAATACAATACCAATTGTCAACAGCGGGGTAATTGCTTTTGTGATAAGAGACAACGGAAAAGGGCATTCGTTATGTAATGCATTACGCGGTGCCTGAAGTAAACAAGGTCGCTTGAATCTAAGCTCTTTTCAAGATGCACGCACTGCAGTCACAGCGAGGGTATATTCCTTACTGGCGGGGGTTGGCACATGCCGATTTTTCTTCCCTTCCTAATTTGTAATTTTTATACATTTTTCTATCTTCCTGTCTATCATTTATTGTCCATTTGTCTGAAAAATTATAAACCCATTTGCATTTATTTATTTATTTACTCATTTATTTACTCATTTATTTACTCATTTATTTACTCATTTATTTACTCATTTATTTCCTCATTTATTTACTCATTTATTGTTTCTGCGTAAAGGTTATGCTTATGTTATGATATTCAACTGCACACGTAATGGTACTAATTTCAAAATCGTTAACGTGGTAAACTTTAAGTAAACGTACACGTAACATATCCAATTCATTAATTGGAATCTGGCTAGAGATGTTCAAGGAGCTACCTATATGTATCCAATATGTCTAGTTTTATTCTTTCCTATGCTTTTTATTATTTTTTTTATTTTTAGAGTAGATGGAAAGGTAATGATACGGAAATTACAGTTGCGGCTTCCGCAGGACTGATTAGAGTTAATAAGTGAAAAACGAGAAGAACAAATCTCATATACCATTTTTTTACATACATGAAGCCATTTCAAATTGAAGCTCAGGGTACAGTGGCTCTCTAAACCCCAGTTCACCAGTTTACACCCTGCCAGGGCGGTAGATTTTCAAGAGATGGAAATCTCTCTCATGATATGTTCTGACACTCGTCTAAATGACCGACAAAATTAAATATTCTGGCCATTCCCCTTCTCATAAGATACCACATTCAGTATCTACACAAGTAATGGTTAAATATGACTGAGTCCATTGCGTCGGTTTTAGTGGGCGAACAAGGGACTAAACAAACAGTTGGTAGTACTGCGACCCCACGTGGTGCCAGGTTTAAAGACTTTCAACAACCCAGCACATGTCACGCGCCGGCAATGGTCAAGTTTCCGGAGCCCAGACAATTAGCCAAGGGAACTTCTAGCAATTGGGCGTCGCATAGCCCGCGCGTTGCCTCCCTTTCCCGCCGGACGCCTGGCCCCGCTTCAGTCCCGCTTCAGACCCACTTCAGCGATCCCGTTCCCACTCCCACTCCGTCACCGGGGACGCCGCGCCGCTTTCGCCCACGCTGGACCTTCAATTTCGTGTCCTTCCCGTGATAACAGCTCACGAAAACACGGAGCACTATTGAAGTGCGCCGTCACTTGGTGTTCTGCTCGGGACGCCTGACACTTCGTGAACGAGAAGGGAATTCCCTCGTTCTCGATTTGTCATTTAGATACTATATCCTTCCGAACACTGTGTAGAGTGTCCGAATCTACACAGTTTCCACAGTTACTTATGAAATGATTCCTTCGCGTAAACGTTACGCTACGCTAATTCGTTGGCGTAAACGAATAAATTTACGAAACCTCAGCGGCCATTCAACATCACGGACGTTTTAACACGAATCCAGCATAACCGCGGCCGGCGGCGGAGGCGCGCGGGCGGAAATCAACGCGTTCAACTCACGTCATCGTCCGTTGAGAAGATGCCGTAGGGCAGGTTCTCCAGCGGGAAGTCGCAGTCGGGCGGGTAGTCGACGAAGCTGCGCAGCACCATGGCAACGGCGTTGGCGTCGGCGGCGGCGGCGGCGGTCGGGTCGGAAGTGAGTCTCCGGGCGTGCGCGCCCGCCCGCAAGCCTTTATAGGCTGGCCCGCGACCTTGGTCTTCAAGCGCGTGGCGTGGCGCGGCGGAGCGCGACGCGACGCGACGAGGCAGAGGCAACGAGGCACGCCGCCGACGCCTGGGCGTGAACGGGCGAGCCCCCGGCGAGCCCCCGCGCACGCGGCCACGCCCTGCCGCTACTAAGCTCGTAAACATTCTTCCTTCTCCCCTCTCCCTCACTCCTTGATTACTTGAGTACTTGATTTACAAAATTGTAGGTCCCGGAACGCGCCCCAAATTAATTGATAATTAAACCGAAATAGTCACATATTTATAATATAATTTAATAATTATATATCATTATTTATAACAAGTACTGGTAGTAAATGGTAGTACTGACGCTCTTTGAATGTAACAACAATAATACAAAATTGAGTTTAAAATTATATTGTATCCTGTTGGACTAATACTGTTATTAAGTTCGTAGAAATGATACAGTTAAATGGAAAATTATTTAATTTTGAATTTATGAAAGTTTATCGAACAAAAAATGGAAATTGTCACATGTTTGTTCTTCTCTTTTTGGTTTCTTCTTTCCAAAATTGTCCCGAGGTACCGGGACGCCATTCCGCCGCTTTCCGTCAGAAATCAAGCCCTACCGTTACTCGTCCTCGTCATTCCTTTCGTCTCTAGTTATGTTCATTCGTTCCTCTCCTCTTTTCTCCTCATGTTCTAGTTTCTCCTCTTTTCCTCTCTCACCCAATTTCTTTTCTCTACTCTCCTCTTTCTCACCGTTTCGTCACCTTGTATTCGTCTCTCATCCCTTCTCTTCTCTCCAACTCCGCTTCTGTTCTCGTCGACACTTCTCTCCATTATTGTCTTGTCTCTTTTTATCCTTCTATCCTCATCCTCTCATCTCTCCTCCTCTCCTCTCGTCTCTAGATCGTCGCACTTCTAATTTTCTTCTTCTTCTTCTTCTTCTTCTTCTTCTTTATCTTCTTCTTCTTCATTAATCTGCCGGAATGTTGGCAACCAGGTACAGAATAGTTGACTTTTCTGTGCTATAAATGAAATAAATTGTGACAGAATTGAAGGTTATTCGTTTTACGACGCTGTCGCAGGTGGAAATACGCCTTACACGGGCTCTTAATACAGGTCCTTCCCGTTGATCCGTTCCCGTCGTCGACCGCTATGTAGGTCGCTTTGTAGGTCGACATAAATATACCAGGAGCGTTCAAATCACGTCGCTCGAAGCCCGCTGTAAAAAAGGGGTAACGCACGTATTGTAATCTGAAAAGAACACGTGGTGTGACCAATGGGTAGATTTTCAAGGCGACAATGTATTTGATACATTCATGAACAATTCCTTTTTTCGTTGACCGCTATGTAGGTCGACATAAATATACCAAGAGCGTTCAAATCACGTCGCTCGAAGCTCGCCTAAAAAAATGGGTAACGCACGTATTGTAATCTGAAAAGAACATGTGGTGTGACCAATGTGTAGATTTTCAAGGCGACAATGTATTTGATACATTCATGAACATTTCCTTTTTTCAATCTTTTATTTAATCAATATTTATTTAATTTCTAGTTGTTGTTGTTTAAATTTGACTTGAAAGGTTTCATTGGTGATGTAAACTTCATGACAAGTTCTTTTCAGATTGTAGAGTGCAGTGATTCAGAACATTTTACAATTCACATACAATATGTCATTTGAACCAACTAATGAGCGTCTGAAGTATCTGGATTCTCGATAAGACTTAATAAATTGTGAATATATTGATATTACCATTAATTTAAGATTAGTTTTTAGTAATCAAATAATAATCTAAAATAACTATAAACCTTTTTCTTACTTCTTTTTGGGAATGTCTATAAACATATAATTTAAAACAAACAGCTTTTCTTCAAATTTCAGACATTCAGATTTATTTATACTTATACATAAATTTTTCTACGTTGCAGTTTTCATAACATTTCGGTCACACCTTATAGCCATCTTCAGACATCTGGTTTAAAAAATGCACAAAAAATGGATTATAATGCAGTTGTAGGTCTAAATTGTTGCGGTTGTATAATTTGTGTTACTGTTTTTACATAAGTTGACATAAATATACCGTACAAAAAGAGTTGAAAAATTATTATAACTATTCTGAACTGTTTACATTATTTACGATATTATTCAAAACATTAATACTGTGAGCGTGCATATTTCTGCTGCTCCTTCCAGTTACCAGTAAGACAAAACCTCTTGTTGTCTTACTGTTTCATGTCTGTCTTATAGTTGTTTTGTCCACTTAACGTTCCTGATTTGTTGTAAATTTTCCTTCGCAAATGTGTTCTTCTGTCAGCTTCAATTTTCGAGCTGAACTTCTGAATCGCTGCCTGTTGCTTATGGTTCTGGTACATCCAGAAAATCTGGTAGTTCTTCGCAGTTGTGAAGAAGTTTGAAAAGGGTTTCCCACTGCTGTTTGTATCGAAAATTGATCTTGGACAGCATCTGAAATACGCCAATGCCCCGTACCTTGTTTCCTTCAGGATTCTACTGTCTCTCGATAAGGTTTAAGCCAGTATTCCGCGGTTCTTGCCCCAACGCCATGCAGACTCGCCGCTTCAGAAACGGAATAGTGACCATCTTCTACTAATGCGATAACTCGCTTTCGTGTGGCTTGTCTATGGTGAGCCATGTCGAAAAGTGAATGCTGAATAGTTCAATTTGCTTAGCTGCGATTTTTCTTTTCTTACCAAGTGCAGAGCCCCAGTGCAGAGCCAAGTGCAGAGCTGCAGAGCCCCTTATCTACTTTTGACATGGAGTCGAAAACACGGAAGTACTGCGAAGGACAGATACAAGTTGGTAGTACCATGTGACTTACACTCTTTCACTCTACTTCTTTCACTCTTCTGACGCTACGCTTATAACAACACATTTTATGTTAACGAAACTTTAAAGTAACATTACTTTTACAAAACGTAATGTCAATTCAGTCTCATTGGCAGGAATCACGGAAGTTTTTTTCCTCTGTACTACTAGTATTTAGCTCTCAATGGACATTAAAGTATTTTATACGCTCTCCAATAAAATAAATTTAACTTTCATAGTTCGATGTACAGAACGTAGTTTCGAAAATACAAGTTGGATAGCGCTGCCGGCAAGCAGGGATGTCCAGCGCCATCAACCTCTCGGGCCAAGGCAATTTCGACGCGAATCTTAATGTTTCCAAGAGTGTACATGTAACAGTTTCATGCGATGAAAGCATCGTAACCAAGGAGGCAGAGATTAAATACGTCTTAAATACAAGAGTTCGAAAATCGAGATCAGCCGAATGTGGAGCGTCCAAGCACGAGTCGTCCAATTATCGGAGCTCTGGAATTTGTTCCGCAAAATTTGTATAAGAATTTGGCTAAATCCCCGGGTGATTTAAGAGACTGGTAAGTATTGCTTTGTTGGAAGTAGCCCACGTTTTGCGCAAGTGTAGTTGAGGCACCTATAGATCCTAGATCTCTCCTTAGGAAGTAGGTTGCAAACCGGAGTATGTTTTATATTCAAGCGAATCATAACATATTTAGTCGTGAAGAAGAGAAATAATAATAAATTTAAAATTGAATTTGGAGGCTATAACTTAAAGTTGTTTTTGACCTTCAGTGTTGTAATGGGAGGGTGAGCTAAATATTCTTCTGCCCAAAAGAATACAGCCTGGTGCTTTTTTAGTGCAACCTATTCTTCGACATTATATCTTTAAATCATTTCATGTATTTTTTTAAAATACTACTAGTTTCATTTAATTTTGAGTGAAACCGTTACAATTTGCAACAAATACATTTTTAATTATTTTTTTTAATAAAATATATTCTTAAAATAAACATCTTAAACTATTCTATGTTCATTTGTGAAAATATGAATAGGTCTGAAATAATTTTGAGTCAATTTTTTTCAACTTTCTAGAATTTTTCAGAATTCAGGAATTTTCGTAAACAAGAACTTCAAAAGCAAGTTCGAACTCTGGAGTGTGTGGTTCAAGTTCTACTTTTATTAAAACCTGAGAACTTTCAAGAATTACTTGTGCACAAGGAATTTCTTCTGGAAGTAACGGAATGCGTTGCTAGGAGGAAATATTTTTTTGCATCAATGCCACGGAAATATTATGTTTTTAATCACTAGAAATAAAAAAGAAATAATTTGGAACATATTTTCTGTTTTGAATCGACAATTAGTTTATTTGATCTATTTAAAAAACAAAAATGCTGCGTAATGTCGTCATCGAATCAAAATCCAATATTATGTTAAATTTATTTGTTTGTTTTTTGTGTGGTTTTATGTCCAAGACTGTTTTAGTTTCCTAAATTTATTTTTTTTTATTTAGAAATAATATTGTTGTGTGTTTTGTTTTTATTCTTGACATAAAATAATGCTTGTGGTATTTTATTGATCATCAGTCAAGAACAATACTTTTTTATTTTGGATTGTTTATGGGAAGATCGTGCGTCACAGTGTAGATGACACATCCTCGAAATATTTTCTCAATTTTTTGTCGTTACGCTCCCGGTTATTTGAGGCTGTATTCGTCATCCGCTTGGAATTTGATCAGAGAAAACTAAGGAAACGACGGACGATTGGAATTCTGAGTCAGCGATATCATAAACAATTTATTTGTTTATTTTACCACGAAAACCGTTAAGACAGTGACGTGCTAGAGGAGTGTGTTCTGTGCTAGTTTCCTTAATTCTGAAATCTTTACACTAAATCATATAGAAGTTGGATTCTGAGTACTGAAAGAAATTAGCGTATTTGCCAAAAATTATTAATAAGATGTTCTCAAATCAGATATAGATTTGAGTTCTTATCCCACATCATGCCCGTGAAAGAAAATACTTCTTGAGACATGAACAACATGGAGAACGATAATTTAAATAACTATATTTTGCACTTCACCCTACAAGATATGCACAGGTAATGACGTTACATTTATGTTCAGAAGCAAAACAAGGGGTCATTTCAGCATTTGTTCAAAGTACCAGAGAAACAAGACGAAAAACGTAATAAAGTTGGGGTCATTGACCCATCATCTTACGCTGGTACGTAGTTAGTGTCACATATGCGTCACAGCCCGAATGACATCCTGGTTTGTTACGCTACGATTGAAGTCTCGCAACTACATACGCGGACGCAAGATCACTGGAAATAATACCGCGAAAAAAGTTTCCTAAATGAAGAAAAAGGAAAATCCTGTTAATTGCGATCACGTGCATTAACAATGTTCAACAAGAATAGCGTAAACGCTAAAAACGGAACTAAGTCATCGCACCTTACCGCGGAGACACTTGACGTCAGGCTGTGCGCAATTCCTGTGGAGCATTTGCTCGAGGCCTGCCTCAGGGACGCACGGGCCGCGCGAAACGCAAAGTCCAAGTTCGCAAAGTCTGTTCGAGACTCGCACAACGCATGGAATCACCATGGGGTGAGACATGGATGAAAATCATACCGCCATAAATCGATTCTGAAGCATCATGTTATCCTTAATTATTTTACTCTCGTCATTTACCCTTCCCTCAAACATATAAACTACACCAAACGTCTTTCTGCGTTCCTTTCCAAAACATGTTCACATATCCATTCTAGTCTAGCGATAATTTGTGTCAACGATTTAAATATACAGTAGCTATAATATCTTGACGTTTTATATTAGTAAGTTTGAAATGATCGCTTTACTTAGCGAGTTCCCCCTTCCCCAATTACTCGCATATACATTGAAACGTCTCGCAATCGTACGTAGCCAAGTTGACTTTTCCTTTTGAATTTCTTACAATTCTTTTGGATTTCCTCTTATTGCTCTCCAGGGTTTCAAAGCGTTAGGGTAGCCGCATGCTGATATGCG